TTCTGACAAGTACTCCAACTCATCTCTGGTCCTGTCGTCTCAATTTTATTTTACTGAAAGCCACAAATGATTGTTCCTTGACCCGTTTGATAATCTTAGAGAAAATAATTGATGATAGTACTTGGTTTTCTTTCCCCCCAAAAAAGGAAGGTAAAACATACTGTAGTACAAAAAAAAACCCAAAGAGTTCTATTTAATGGAATATCAACATTGTGAACATTACTTGAGAAAATGCTTATAATTTTGAAAGCCTTATTTGGTAAAAAATAAGATGCTGAATGAGATTTGTTTTCTTTTAATATTCAGAGAAAAGTTTAATGAAGTTAACTGCAAAAAATTAAAATATTTTCAATTTTAGAGAAGAAATATGTTTGACTCTGACCAGATAATCTTTTAAACAGTCACAACTGTGAGCTTTATATTTGTTAAATAAGTCTTCTATGAATTTTGAATTAACGATAAACTTGAGAAGGAAGTAATTTACACGCCATATAATTCGATAATAAAGTAAGTTTATTGTGTCATTTAAAAAAAAACAACAGCAACATTTGTGAGTCTTAAGTACATAACAACTCTTGTGACCATAAATGCAGTGTAAACTAGGCAATCAACCTTCATCTCAAACAATCTGCATTTTCAAAACAAAATGAAAATTAAAGTTATTCTTCACTTTTATGTCGCTTACGGAACAGAATTGACATTAATATATTGAGACATCCTTAATAGATCGTTGTTGCTTTATCCACATAACTAGTCCAAATAATCTTAACGTTCTTGCATGTTATAATATTTTCGTTAATGTTTAAATATGAATGGAATAATATGAGGCATATAATTCATTGTAACTAGTTCTAAATTTAGTTAGACAAAATATATCCATATCAATATTAAGAGCCCTATACCACCATGAACACTGTTAAACTAACACTTTTCTGTGTTACATAGTGTGTCTAATGCTGTGTAGTAAAAGTAATTGTTACGTATGGTGCATGCATGTACATATGCATTTATAAAAAATAAATGAATTTACATCGCACCTGTAAAGAAAGTATATATTCAAGTATTCAAGAAATTGTCATTTACAGGAAAGCGCGGTTATATATATGAAACGATAGAACTGTCTTTTGATAATGTTTTTCTATATGAAGTGCAGAACAAAACGTTTACCAAAACAAAATACGCTGTGCATTTAAAAATATACGAAGTACATTTAACATATAGCTGTGTACAAAATTAGTGTATATCAACTGATTTCACTTGAAAAACTAACAGTATTATATATTTACTCACATGAAACAAACGGTATTCAGTACGTAGGTGAAACTGGACGATATTTATCAAAACGCACGCAAGAACACCTTTATTGTTTTAAAAGACCCCATAAATTCAAAAGTATCATTTATCAACTCCTTTAGAAGCACAATCATCCTTTTAAATATTTAACAGTTCAACCTTTAGAAGTAGTTAATAAGCAGCCTGGGGAATCTCATCTTAAATTTGTACGATCACGAAACATCACAGACAGTTTATGCTCTCGGTCTTAACGACAATATCATGGGAATTGGTAATATATCTAGAACAGATTCTGTCAACATTTTGGATATAGTTTCTACACAGTACGTAAAAACCGTTCTCATGGGCGTAGAATAAATCGCAATCAAAAAAAATTTCGTAATACAATACTATTATTCCGGACCAATTTCTTTTTCAAAAAACAACGGTAGACACTATCTATTAACCTAGCTCTGTTCTTTGCCTGTTAATAAATAACATCAAATTTTGGAGGAATGCAACAAAATTCCATATTGCAGTCCTAAGTATGAAATCGTTCAAATATAATTGCATATTGTTATTCTAAATTGTTACCCAAAATTGATCGCCCTGAAGTTAAAAAAAAACATTTTATTAAAATTGAATATGTCAATAAAGATTTTGATTTTGTAAATATTTCCGGTATTTTTAATGATCATTCTGTTAAAGAACAAATTCCTGGTTATTTTGATAAAACTGAACTCCCTCTTATTTGTTATGTTTACAAAATATCTACCCGGAAATATGTGTTTAATTACAGCGAAGTGTGTAAAGATGTTAATATCAGTGACAATACAATTACCTCATGAAATTGCAGTAAATCCGAATACATTTATTACCCCAGTTCCCATGTTATAACAGGAGACCTTAACATCGTTCGTGACCGAGAGTTGAAATCATTCCTCAGTAAAGGACCTAAATATCGTCCCCCGTCAATTATAAATTGGAATGAGTGTCGTAACATCATCCACGACTCACTCCGTACTTACTGCTCTAAATGGATAAAACGAGATAAAGCTGACAAGAAATCATTAGATTCTTTTTTTAGTATGGTAATGAACATAGTTGATATACGTATTCAAAATTTTAAAGATCATTTTACTCCTAACAACAACCATAATAGCCCAATTTCCCGTATCAAACATAAGCTAAAAGAACTCGCCAAGGAATATATTTTTGTCCCGGCTGATAAGGCTGCTAACAATATCATTATTGTTTGACGTAAATTTTACATTGATGTTCTACAAAAGTAAATCACGAATTCAACAACATTGCAACTGACTCCATTTTCGGAAAATGACATCTGTAACAAACATAAAATTGTAGCTACCTCTTTACAAGCAGAACCAAATACAATGAAAGTTCCAACTATGTACTGGCTTCCAAAGCTGCATAAAACTCCTTACAAATATAGATTTAGTTCGTCTTCAAGCCATTGTTCCACTACTAAACTATCTATTCTCCTTACAAGTACACTTGGTATAATCAAAAACCTGGTAATAAATTGTTCAAAAAAGGCCTTTGAAAATAGTGGAATTAATTACTTTTGGAGTGTCAAAAATTCGTTGGAAGTACTTGATAAATTGCATGCTTATATTGGTGATTTCGAATCTGTTAAAAGTTTTGATTTTTCTACCCTATATACCACGTTGCCTCATAATCTTATTCAACACACCTGATTAAATCGGCATTTAAAAAATCGGAATGCAAATATATATGTTCAAACTCTTATAGGTCATGTGCACTTAGAAAAACGCGCGTTTACTCTTCCCGTTAACTATATTTTCTTATTAGAATGATTTTTAATTGTAAAGGTTGCATATAAAACCATAGCTTTTTTAAAAATACGTTATAACCGATTCTAATGAAATATGTTAATCTTGATTTTAATAACCATAAACAGTTTATCTTCTTTATTTTCACTGGCTTATTCATATGATGCAAATGAAAAATAAATAAGGTACCGCTAAAAAAATATCAAAAGAAAAGTTTTTTTTAAGTTGTCAACAATATTCATTACGGCAGATTTTAATAAACAATGCAGACGACATAAACTTATCTATGTAAAACTTATCATTGCCATTTTTTATTGTTAGCGAAATAAGTTTTAGTAACGGTAGACGTGTAAGAGCTCTCATTTTGTGTAAAACTATCCCTCCTGGGGTACCAAAAGAAGAGAATTAAAATGCCTTTCTATAATATTTAAGCAAAAGGTACAATATTGGCACCTTATATTGATGCTGACAACAAATTTTGCAATTGTATACTATAATTCCTTCCCTTTTATGTCAAACAATCCATTCGTAGGTATACAGAATAATCAATTATCAGGTCAGCATAAGAATATTAAAAACAAGTTTTATCTCCAATTACAAATTCTTATGTTGCAAATAATATGAATGCTTATCGCGAAAATAAGACGTTGGGCATTTTACTTAGCTAGTTATGTGATATAATAAGTCAGTGTATCCAGGATACCAGGCCAAACCGTAAACGCGCGTTTACTGCAAAAGTTAACGCGGAGGTAAAAATAAAATTAAACGCCCGTTTTTTTTTTTTGTCTACTGAAATTTTGGAGTCATCACAGAGCTATCGTGGTGTTCACATGATGTGCAAGTGAGTGAATGCCGAAATTAACTTTTCCCGCCTGTTTACATGCAATGCTTGATCTGCACCAAACTGGTTATTACGAGCAATATCTCCAATTTATAAGGGTAAAATGATGTTTAAAAAATCCTGGCAGTCAATCAGACATATTTTCTTGATTTCAATGAAAATCCAACCGAAGTGATAGCTGGTTCATTGAAGTCAAGAACAGATGTCGAAAATATAATTTTATTGATTACCAGGATTTTGTAAACAATCCTCTATATAAAACGCAGTGGAAAACCCTAATTTCAAGAAAAAATACATGCATACCGGCTTGAAAAAAATGAATTAAGAATCTGAGAGATACTCCAGTCTGAAATACATAGCAGGAGAACACAAGATAAGGACAACTCCAATATGGAGACGTCGGACGATTTCCTCTAAATTGTCTTAATTGAAGATCTTGTCTTGCTGATCATTTTTGCTTATTTAACTTTTCATCTTTCTATTATAATATTTAAGATAAAAGGCAAAAGAGCACAAAATCGCCACCAAAGAGCAATAACTCTAATAAGGAGTCGACTGCCAATTGCAACAATGCAGATTTTCTCTATTTATAACGCTTTTTAAAGTAATAGACCAAACTTGCATTTTACCCCTATGTTCTATTTTCAGCCATTTCGGCCATCTTTGTTGACAGACGGAATCATCGGACACATTTTTTAAAACTAGATACCCCACAAATATTTGTGACCAAGTTTGGTTAAATTTGGTAAATTAGTTTCAGAGGAGAAGACATTTGTAAAAGTTAACGACGACTGACGATAAGTGATGAGAAAAGTTCACTTGGCCTTTCGGCCAGGTGGGGTAATAATCATTATTATTATTATTATTATTATTATCATTATTATTATTATTATTATTATTATTATTATTATGATTATGATTATTATTGTTATTATTATTATTATTATTATTATTATTATTATTGTTATTATTATTATTATGGACATTCAGCAACAAAACTAAAGTCAGTATAAAGTTTAATAAATCTAACTTACATGTAAAAATAATACAGCATAACCGTATACACAAAAAGAATTGTTACGTTTGCGAATGACCGGTTCCTTACCCAACCCAGAAATTCCGGCAGTTAATGTCCAACGTATTCGTAGCTAGTGTCTATATAGTGGGAAACATAGCGTAGAAATTGTGGCGACGTCAATGTAGACATCAATAACGTCGCCGAAAATTCTCAATTCTCTCCTCATGTCCTAAAGCAATGTAAAGATTAAACTTTCACTGGATATAGCTTGAAAACAACCATGGTTGCGAAGGACTTTCTTTCAATCAATCGATTCGTCTCTCATATTTAAATCGTGTATCAATTTTTCAAAACATTCTGTAGACTAATAAAAGAGGGACGAAAGATAGCAGAGGGACAGTCAAACTCATAGATCGAAAACAAACTGACAACGCCATGGCCAAAAATAAAAAGACAAACAGACAAATAATAGTACAGATTACACAACATAGAAAACTAAAGACTAAGCAACACGAATCCCACCAAAAATTGGGGGTGATCTCAGGTGCTCCGGAAGGGTGAGCAGATCCTGCTCCACATGTGGCACCCGTCGTGTTGCTCATGTTATTACAAATCTGGTTAATAGTCTAATTCGGTAAGTCATATTCTTGAAAAGGGAAGGGTATTGTAGTTACGACCGGGGATATAAGAAATCGGTCAGTTTATTTTCGACTTATGAGTTTGAATTACCCTTGGTATCTTTCGCCTCTCTTTTAAAGATTATTACGTATTTTACGAACAAATGTTGCAAAAGATATAAAAGGCAAGGAGAAAGGTACAGGTTTTGAAAATCTACCTTTTTCTTCTTCTTTTTATATTTGCTTTTATTTTCTTTTGGCCACCAACTGATGTATTTACCATTGTCAAGTAGCAGTGCACAATGCCCAACACTACTTCCCTCTGCCTCCCATACGTACAAAATTGCCATGAATGCTGTAAATGAGTGAATGGACTTATAAATAAAAATAATACTTCCAAAAGGTGATGTTTGTTCAAAAATTTTACAGAAAAAAATTGAAATTCTCACGGTAACTGCATCAGAACTAAACCAATAAGTAATAGTCCGCCAGATCGGTGACAAAATTGTGGGTTTGATGATAAAAACACCAAACTTGGCATGGTAGTAGTTCTGGGTGTTTCAAACAATATCACCTATGGACTTACCTTGAAAATTCAAAATGGTGGCTATTTTCAAGATGGCCGCAATAAAATATCAAATTCAACATATATCATTTATATAAGGTACCATTTAAGGTCAAATTTTGCATGGTAGTAATGCTGGGTGTTTCAAAATATGTTAGCTATGAACCCACCTTGAAATTTTTATATGGCTGCTTTTTCTAAGATGGCCGCCACAAAATAACAAAATCAGTATCCCTTAGTAAGTTCAAATTTGTCATGTTAGTAGTGCTGGGTGCTTCGGCCAATATTAGCTATGGACCCAAATTGAAATTTCAATATGGCAACTTTTTCAATGATGGCCGCCATAAGTGATCATTCCATAGTTTCTATGACAGTTCGTATAATCGAAAAAAATATACCACTTTAAGACTTACAATCCTCAACTTGCAACGCCTCTCCGTAGACGAAATGAGGACTACTGGATTCGAAAATTGGGAACTGCGACACCATATGGTTGCAATGACAAAATTGATGGTATAGGTATTCTAGTCCTTCCTGTAGCTTGGTGAATGTAATGAATATTTTCAACTCTACCCCTCGACGTAGACGCAGTCATGGTCATCGTCAATATACATCACCTACTTTGCATGATGTCTCTATTCATGACTTGCTGCCATTTTTACAAAAGCCGTTTGGCATTCATCACATTCGCACAAAACTGTATTCATTACCCCTTTCAAAACCTCATTCTCTGTTTAATTTATGTTTGGAAACCACTGTTACAAACCCTCATTCAAACCAATACAAACTTACAACTATCATTTCGGATATTGTAAGTCACAGACTTTTCAAACCAGTTCGCATTGGAAAAGATGAAAAAGAGAAAAGATCTTTTCTTAAACTTTCCTTTTGCCAACAAAGGTCTCGGTGGCGTCAACTTAGGTTATATTCTTCATCATAAATTAGTTCAGTCGAAAATACCACCTTATTTTAAAGATCAGTCTGTACCAATAATTTCTTATACCTATACCAAACCAATTGCAACTAAAATTTTCAATTACAAACACGTTTTGCAGGATCTCAACATTGACGACTTCAAGTCTAAACCTCCTGATTGCACCTGTGCTAGTTCCCAATTCACATATAATCCGGCTGGCCACGTTATTACCGGAGACCTGAACATTGTCAATAACACTTCCCTGCGAAATTTGTTACCCAAAGGTCCGAAATATCGTCAGCCTAAATCCATCAATTGGAAATACAACTTCAAAATATTTATGGATTCAGTCGAGGATTATGCCAGGCAATGGGCTAAACGCGAGAAAGAAGATGTAGATACTCTTTTCGAATGGATTGAGGCTGTGAGGTAGTTGATACAAATCCGAATTAATAATTTAAATGGGCATATCAATACCCACGCTACGTCAATTTTTAAAGACCCAAATGTTGCAAAACACTTGTCCTACCTCCATGACAAATACGTTGTTGTCCCCGCAGATAAAGCCCCAAACAACATCGTTTTTGTGTGTAAATATCATTACATAGACTACTTGATAAATGAATTAGGTATTGACAATTCACTTGGAAACTCAACATATACCCTAACGACATTTACCAAAGAGGAAATCCTGGATAATCATAGGTCTGTTCTATGTTCCTTTGGAATTTCAACCAAAGATGAAGAACTGGATCTTCCATCACTGTATTGGATACCTAAACTACATAAGTGTCCTTACAAACAACGGTATATTGCTGGGTCTTCCAAGTGCTCCTAGAAACCTCTATCTAAATAAGCAACATCTATTTTATCAGCAATCAAAACCGGGCTCCAAAGTTATTGTGAAACTGCCTATTCTAGAGGAGGCGTGATTCAGATGTGGATACTAAAAAATTCCAAAGACCTTTTAGAGTACATACAATCTAAGACTCTCTCATCTTGCAATAGTATTGAAACATTTGACTTTTCTACACTTTACATAAGTATTCCCCATTCCAAACTAAAAGACAAATTGAAAGAGTTGGTATTACTTTGTTTCATTAAAAAGAATGGCGAACGTAGATACAAGTATCTTGTCTTTGGGAGGGATAAATCTTACTTTGTAAAGAATCACTCTGATTCAAACAGAAAATTCTCTAAAACTGACATTATCAAGATGCTTGATTTCTTGATTGACAATATATTTGTTATGTTTGGAGGGCGTGTTTTTCAACAGACTGTTGGAATTCCAATGGGAACCAATTGTGCCCCTCTTCTTGCCGACTTGTTTCTTTATTATTATGAGGCTGACTTCATACAGGAACTTCTTAGGAAGAAAGATAAGAAGTCATCAATATCCTTTAACTCTACGTTCCGCTATATAGATGGTGTTCTCTCACTAAATAATACAAAATTTGGTGACTATTTTGAACGAATCTATCCCATCGAACTAGAGATAAAGGATACTACAGATACAGTTAAGTCTGCCTCATATCTTGACTTACACATAGAAATTGACAATGAGGGTCGGTTGAAAACAAAACTTTACAACAAAAGAGATGATTTCAGCTTCCCAATTGTGAACTTTCCATTTCTATGTAGCAACATTCCAGCAGCGCCTGCATACGGAGTATATATCTCCCAATTGATACGATATTCCCGGGTTTGTGTTTCCTATTATGATTTCCTTGATAGAGGATTGCTGCTCACAAGGAAGCTATTAAACCAAGAGTTCCAAATGGTGAAGTTGAACTTATCCCTTTGTAAATTTTACGGACGCCATCACGAGTTGGTTGACCGTTATTGAATAACCGTTTCACAGATGATATCGGATATGTTCCTTATGTCGTAACTACAATACCCTCCCTTTTCACAAATGTGACTTACCGAATTAGACCGGATTTGTAATAACATAAGCAACACGACGGGTGCCACATGTGGAACAGGATCTGCTTACCCTTCCAGAGCACCTGAGAATACCCCCAGTTTTTGGTGGGGTTCGTGTTGCTTAGTCTTTGGTTTTCTAAGTTGTGTAATCTGTACTACTATTTGTCTGTTTGTTATTTTATTTTTGGCCATGGCGTTGTCAGTTTGTTTTCGATCTATGAGTTTGACTGTCCCTTTGGTATCTTTCGTCCCTCTTTTATCAAAATCAACAAATATCCCTTATAGAAGGTTACAAAGTGTTTTGTTTTGACGTACCTTCAGTGAAACTAAGTGCCCTATAATACCAAGTGTATGACACATCTGTGTTCTAAAGCCAAACATCAAAAGAGTTGTGAGGAAAGAACATAAAATCGTAACAACGGTACCATTCCTGCAGAACAGTAGTCTACAACGAGGGATTACGTATAGACACAGCGTTATTCAAATATTTAAGCTAGACTTAATTAGAATGTATACTTCTCGACTTGAACAATTTTATTTGTGATCAACTGAAAGAGCACATAGTAATGATTTAACAAATTGTTGTCATCTAAGGCCTGCCAGGCCATTAACAAGACAGGTGCTTGCTTCTTCTGTTTAATGAATATTTTGCTGTTGTAATTAAACAAGCAACCGCAACAACCTGTTTGTATGATAACGATATTTGAAAAAGCTGAACATGCAGGTAGTTCAAAAAGAAATGATGTAGGTAATAGTCTTTTCCACAGTCATTAAAACATTAGTTGATGATCATTTGGCCAAATATTCAGATGCAGTCGAGTTATTCCATTGGGTCAATTACGACACTATCCATTTCTAAGTTACTTCTGTTTGTTTTCTCTATTCTTCTTTAATATTACATTCTACTGAATTAAAACAATCTCTTAATGTATATAGACCTTCTTCTGGATGCTAGGACCAGGATAAGAAGTACTAAATGACCACTTCACGTTTGTCGTTTATGAATGATCCAATTATCCATTCATCTAGAGTACTAGATTATTCCATCTATGAAACATTCAACATTGAATATGTGGTTCCTCCCGAAAATCCGTGTGGTTTTATAACAGCAGCCGTGCACAATATTGACAACAACAAGAGTTCAAATATGACTAACGAATCGTTACATAGTACGACACTTCCAATATTTCAGCATTTTCTTAGTCCATCTTTGCATATTCGTCTTAACCTTGTGCTTTGAAATATATGCATTACCCTGATAATTTCGGGTATTATAACCAATTTATTATCCTCCAGCACAACTGTTCGTACTATTGCTATGATTTATAATATATTACTATAGAATAAGATAATCGTTACTACTAACCAAATATAACCATGCGTTTCATAGCTTACATCTAATATTTACCGTTTTATGGACATGCACTCTGTCAATTGTTTATACAGAAATAAATGTATTCCAAACCTGGTATAATTAGTCAATTGTACAACTCTAGCCTTGCATGGTATAAACAAATTAACAAAATGATAACACAGATTGCTTATAACAGATGATTATGAAAAACATGTCTGGACAGCATTCCATGCATGGAGAGCCATGACAAATGGTTTTGCCTTTATATACCAGTCGGCATTGACCAATTATTCAGGAAGAGATCAAATACTACATTCCAGGAATACAACCCAACAATGTGTTATTTTTTTCTGAGACATGTAACGTTAATCACTTGTGGTCAATCGTTTTTTTTTTTTTTTGCAAATTCGAAACAGTAGAACTGGAAATAATAGGTCTAGCAGAACAAAAAAATAGTTTTGTTTAGGTCTTCATATACAAGATATAGAAATGGAAACGTGAGGAACCTTATATGATTGGTTACAAATCAGTTGTTGAACAAGTGTTCAATCAAGGAAACATAGAACTTCATGAACAGTAGGTTCTTTTTTTAGAGGGTCTCATGCATCATAAACAGGACATTTCCATGAGGTAACAGTAAGTGTACTTCTCATTTTTATGCAAAGATCCTAAGAGTAACGAGACCCTGATGATAACTATGTAACATTCAAAAGGATTGAGAAATTAGAGTGAAATTGAGAGTTCACTTAACCATGACTGGTCTGTAATATTAAAGATTGAACTTGACATATTGATGTGAGATCATTAATTAAGAGAATGTTTCTTAAGGGTGTATAAAGGTTCCATTATACTGCTTATTCATTGGTTCTTTGAATGTGTCCATCCAAATTATGGCTTCCAGTACCCGTGCGCGATATTCTGCCTTTAGTTATACAGTTTAAGTGTTGCAAACGTAATTTGAAAATGGTATAAATGTAGATCAAGCCCATGAGTAGAATTATCCACTTGTAAAAGGAGAAGGTGGGGCAATTAGATTGACCATTAATATCGCACAACTACAGCATTTAATGGTGTTTTGTCTAGAAATGGAAGTAGTAATTAACAAGTTTCAATCAACCTTTGAATTAATATAACGTGATCAGGTAAACCACATGATGTTCTACAACAGGAACGGGTTAAAAGCAAACACAGGACATTCTCAAAGCATGTGATAGCTTTAGGCGGGGGAATGTTTCGGCCTTTTATCTAGAGTGCTATCCCGAGTAAATGCGGATGGCATATACCTTATTGGACAAAGGTATCATCATTGTGAGATGAGCTAATAAAATGTAGTTGGCTGATATAAAATGGATGTCACGGTGGATGAAAATGCGCGAAGACAATGATGTTATGTATGGTGCTGTTTAAAATGTGATGGGGAGTGGGGCAAGACTAAATTGGCTGTTATTAAGACATATTTTAAAAACTGCATGGAAAATATGTTGCTGTATAGATAATAAAAAAGGGGAGAAGATACTTAAGTCCTCAAAAATCATTAGTAAAACAAAATAGATAAGAAAAAAGATAAAAAAAAAAAAAAAAAAAAAAAAAAACGCAAGATAAGACAAACAGAAGAAATCCCTGCACAAAAAAATCTAACAATAAAAGCCGGGGATGATTGCAGGTGCTCAAGAAGGATCAGCAGTTCTTGTTCTACAAATGACACCTGCCTTAATGCTCTTTTTCAAATAGATTGCTGAGTCATATCCAGTAATAAGGCATATATCATATAAAATTGGATTTATAAATGTCTCTTTTCTAACCATTAGAATTACAAAATGTAAAACATGACCGAATTTCATTGTTTGAAATGAAATAAGGCTTCCTATGCTTGTACGATTGATAAATAAGACATTCACTAGTTGACAACACAGACATTGCATGGTTTTCGGAAAGATGTGTATTTTTCTGGTCAACTGGTAGCTTTCGTGATGTAACTCGTTGCAAGTAGAAATTCGCTGAACATCTTGATGTAGCCACAATCGACGAAAAGAAAGAATTGTGGCAAGGAAAACTGGAGGATATCCATTATCATATGTGACTCAGATGGTCCTTAACGCTCAAACAAATCCTGATGACGTCCTGGAAACGTTTGAACGTTTCCATTTATGGGATCTTTCATTAAATTGTCTTGCAAGTTATCCCAAGAATATCGTATGAACTGCAAAATGCAATTCGATAGAAGTAATGTCAGCAACGCCTTGTCTTAATTCTATTCATTTTTACTTTTTGGCGACCATTTTGAAATTTCCGCCATTTTGACAAAAAAAAAAATTACAGTCTAATACAACGTCCTGACTTACTTAAAACGTTGGATTACATTTTATATGTTTTTAAATAATTTGGTTTGAATATAATTTGCATTATACTATTCATGGTTGTGAAATATGGACTGACTGGCAGACATCTTGAAAATGGCGGTTATATTGGATTTTTCAGAGTGGGTCCATAGCTTAAATTGACTACCAAATATATATCTTCAATTCTGCAAGGTTTCATGCTTTTATCATCTATCCCACAATTCTTTTAAAGATATGCACGAATCAGCTGGACTATAATAGAATGTAAAAGTTCAAAACAGTTTTGTAAGGCAAGCCGTTTTACTATTAATTCTAACTTCAAGATATCTGATATAATGAATACGATATTTAATCATTTTTTGCTAATATAATATATAAAATATATCATATGATATATAAGATATATCATATGATATTTAAGATATATCATATAACATATAAGATATATGATATGATATATAAGATATATCATATGATATATGAGATATATCATATAACATATAAGATATATCATATAATATATAATATATCTTATACAATCTAGTTTTTATAAGATATCTTATATAATCTATAAGACATATTATATAAGATATCTCATATACTTTATAAGATATCTTCTATAGTTTATAAGATATCTTATAAAGAAAATTATATGAGATATCTTAAACTTTATATGAAATGTCATATAAACTATCTTATAAACTATATGAGATATCTTATTAACTATATGAGATATCTTATAAACTATATAAGATATCTTATAAACTATATAAGATATCTTATATACAATATAAGATATTTTATTAACTATATTAAATGTATTATAAACTATAAGATATCTCATATAATATATAATATATCTTATATTATCTAGTTTATAAGATATCTCATATAATTAATATGATAAAAGAAAATTTTATGAGATATGTTATAAATTATATGAGATATCTTATAAATCATATGAGATATCTAATGAACTATATAAGATATTTATTATACTATATGAGATATCTTATAAATTATATGAGATATCTAATGAACTTTATAAGATATTTATTATTCTATATGAGTTATCTTGTAAATTATATAAGACATATTATAAACTATATGATCTATCTTATAAAGTTTATTAGATATCTTGAAGTTAGAATAAATAGTAAAACGTCTTGCCATAGTGTTAGGAAATATCAAGATAGGCGTTGAAAATACACTAATTCTGTCCAGTTAAGTGTGCATTGCCATTATATTTTTATTACGGTAAACAGTTTTATTTATGTTGACCATTTCAAAATAATAAAAGGAAAAGTTACTGCATGTAATTTTTATATTGACAAACAAAAAAAAATATGACTAACAAGACGGGTCTTCTAGATTTTCTACTAAATGCATCTTTTTAAAGTTCTAACAACCATTCTTCTACAGTAAGATATAGCCGTCGGAAACAAAGTGATAAGGCATATTCAACCAGGTGGTATTAATTAGATGTGGATTATTCATAATATAAAGATCTACTTCAAAATCTTTGATCACAATCTCTACACTAAAATTGCGAATGGAAATGAGGAATGTGTCAAAGAGACAACAACCGTACCAAAGAGCAGAAAACAGCCCAAGGCCACCAGTGGGTCTTCAACATAGCGAGAAAATCGCGCACCCGGAGATGGGCTTCAGCCGGGTCCTAAACAAAAATGTGTACTAGTTCAGTGAAAATAGACGTCACACTAAACTCCGAAACATATAAATGAACTAAAAAAAAAAACCACACACACACACACAAGACTAACAAAGGCCAGAGGCTCCTGCGTTGGGACAGGCGCAAAAATACGGTGGGGTTAAACATGTTTTGTTGCTTTTCAAATGGGCTGAAATTGTTTACCACAACTGGCTGACTTGTATTTGTACCTGTATGAAATAGAAGTAAAACATCACCTTCTCAAATACAAAAATCATCTTGCAAAATTTTGTAATTTCGCTTTGTCCTTTCTCGATTGTAACATTTTGACATTTAGCAGGAGACGCATACCCTGTCAAAGAATCAGGGCTCGATCATTTAAGAATTTATACAATTTCTTTAGTTTCTTGCATTATTAACTTTGTTTTGTATCTTCCTGGTGAAGTTATAAGATTTATTCATAAATATCGATACACAGATATTGCCTCTGTTTTAAAACAATCTTGTCATAGTTTACAAAGAATTCAAAAGTTTAAAATAACGTCCTTACCTTAGTGCTCTGTTTGTAAATACGTACATTTATAGCAAAACCAAATTACAGTTCGTTGAATGTGAATTACTATATTCAATGATATACATTTATATTTTTCTGTATCAAGAATTGGCCCATCTAGTTTTGGTTTTCTAGTCCCTTAAACGAACGAAATGTATTTTTGTATATTTTGAAATTTCGGTTTATTTATAGCATTGGAATTTCCAACTTTGAAAGTCTTAAATTATCGTCAAATTCTAAAAAGTCAAATCGAAAGTTAAATACACGCATGTCTAATTTATCATAGAATGTATCAGAGATCGGTGTATATGTGTGTGTATTTTTAGAGTTTGAAATTTCAATTCATACGCATAAAGTGGTATAATACTGAGATTATGTCAGATGTAAATACACCCAAAGATATACCTTTTAAACTTATAGGTATTTTAAGTGTCTCTAATACAATCTAAATGATAATTACATATTACATCGGTTATTATTTTAAATGATTTATCCGCTTCTTTGCCATGTTAAAGCAATAATCAGATATAGTTTTCATTAACCATGGCTTAACTGATTCATATTTCATCAGATTACCATTTGCTGCTTTAGCATATTTTGTTGTCGGTTCTATATTCAAACGTGCTGAATTCTACCTTGTAAACACGAGAACGATTATTTGAGGAACTATCTGTGAACAAAAAACATTTTGCATAAATATTTCATAAGATATCAATATTTTTGCAAGGTAAATTATAAAATACATACAAAGAAAATACGAGAACATCTTAACAGAAACAAACAGAACCGACACTATATATATAACACATAGCTGAGAGGGTGATAGAGCAGATTGTTACCCCGAGAAATCATTGTCAACTAAGGCAAAGCCAAGGTTGACAATGTCTTTTCGAGGGGTAACAATCTGCTCCATCACCCTCTCAGATATGTGTTATTTAATTTATTACACTGAATGTTCTGTTATTACTGTCTATTAAATTCCAAATTCAAAGTAATAAACTATGTCGTCTTGTACATAACAATCATCCGTATAATAAAGCGCACACTTGATTAGGAGTCTCCGTGAACGGTAATAGAGTATTTGCCATGGGATAGAGTAAATTGTCTCTCTCGTATGACCCAATCAAAATCTGTGATTTTGACATGAAGTATAATAGTAAAAAATGTTCTTGTCATTAGATTGTGCTACTTTAATTTTAAACAGTATATACGCGACTAGTTTGAAAAAAATGAGCTGGTAAAAGATATATCTGTGAATTCTTCGAAATGAATTTGAGGTAGTTTTGATATATCGGGCCTGATATTGATTCAAAAAAGACACGATTACATTTCCTTTTGCCAAAATATTAAATCATTGTATTTACATTTATAAGGGATATAATACGAAACATATTTGAACACTGATCATGTAGATGATAACTGATGCGTATACCCCCTTCTAATAGGAAATATAACATACACTTGATATAGTTTATTACCGTAAAACATAAAAATAACACTCGATGAAAAGGCACTTTTCTAGATCGACCATCAGCATTGACATTCAGAACCAAATAATAATTAAAAGTAGGAATGTAGAAGTACCTATAGACGATGATAGAAGTGGAGGCTTATATGACAAATAGGAACCAAAAAATAGTAAAATCCATCTACGGTAATTTTTGGCTTTATATGAAAATCAAGTACAATCCCTCCCGTTAGGTGTTTAGTATCATACCATCATAACATATGAGAAGAACATAACCCGTATCATGCCAACAACTGTTGTGTTTATTTCCGATGCAAAGACCCTATAAGTGAATCAATATTAATTCCAAAATATGCCATCTTTATTGACCCGACAACAGTATCGTAACTATATCTCTTCTGAATAAGTCTGTTTAAAGTTTTGATAAGCTTTTGAGGTGAATAGCGAATTTTTTGTGCTTTGTATAAACTATTACCATAACAGATTGGCTGTAAAATACAGAACGTATAAGATGTCTGCATGTTGATTTATATTTACGAATGATGTCCTTGTACCGATGATAAAATTTAGTAAATGTTTTGACTAGTTTGTGATATCGAAAACCCTGGTGTAAAAATTTTTCAATTATACAGGGATTTCTTTCGTTTAAATCGAATTCGTTGTTACATACACGACCGAATCGAATAAGTTGAGATATATAAACACCGTAAGATGGTGAAAAGGGAACGTCTTCATCTAAAAATGGATAATTAACAATAGGAAAAGAAAAATCATCTCTTTTATCGTACATTTTAGAATTAAGCTTCCCGTTGAAGATATAGATATCAAGATCCAGGAAAAGGCAGTGTTCATTGTTAGTATTAGCTTTATTTAGAGTCAGTTCAGCAGGATAAATCTCTTTAATGTACATACTGAAGTCGTCATTATCATGATTATTGAGATCCAATATATCATCCAAATATCTAAAAGTGTTATTAATTTTTTTGTGTCAGATGTTATTTCAATGGGTTTTTGCTGATTTTAGTCATAAATTGTAACTCATAACAATACAGAAACAGGTCTGCAATAAGTGGTGTACTGTTAGTCTCCATTGGAATTCCGATAACTTGACGATATTAGGAATCTCATTAGCCAACAAAAGTGATATCTAGTAAAAATTCAAGTTCAGTTACCGTGTTGACATAGTTCTTTTGTTGTTACTATTAGAAAATGACTTAAAGGAGTTTGAACATATACATTCGTTTTTCTTACTTTTCAAATGCCCATTTAATTAGGTGTGTGGACTATTTCTATTTTCTAATGAGATTAGGAGGGAAAGTGGTATATAGTGTAGAAAAATCCAAACGTTGAACAGATTCGCATTCACCAATATTAGCATGCAATTTACAAAGTACTTCCATTGAATTTTTGACACTCCAAGAGTGAATAATTAGACTATTTTTATTGTACCTAGTGTACTAGTAGGTAGAGTAGACAGTTAAGTAGTGTAACAATGACATGAAGACGAAATAAATCTATATTTGTAAGGTGTTTTGTGCAGCTTCGGAAGCCAGTACATAGTTGGAACTTTCATTGTGTTTGGTTCTGCTTGTAAAGAGGTATGTAACTTTTATGTTTGTTACAGATGTCATTTTCCGAAAATGGAGTCAGTTGGAATGTTGGTGAATTGGTGATTTCCTTTTGCAGAACCTCAATGTAAAATTTACGTCAATCAATAATGATATCATTGGCAGCCTTATCAGTCGGGACAATAACAAATTCCTTGGCTTGTTCTTTTAGCTTATGTTTGATACGAGAAATAGGGTTATTATGGTTGTTGTTAGGAGTAAAATTGTCTTTAAAATGTTTAATACGAATATAAAGTATGTTCATAACTGAATAAAAAAAAAAGAATCTAAGGATATTTTGTCAGATTTTTCTCCTTTTATCCATTTCGTGCAGAAAGTACGGAGTGAATCGTGGATGATGTTACAACACTCATTCTTATTAATAATTGACGGGGGACGATATTTAGGTCCTTTACTAAGGAATGATTTCATCTCTAGGTCAGGGACAATGTTAAAGTCTCCTGTTGTAACATGGGAACTGGGGCCATAAATGTATTCGGAATTACTGCAATTTCACGACGTAGGTGTATTGTCACTGATATCAACATCTGTACACACTTCGCTATAACTAATCACATATTTCTAGTTAGATTTTTTATAAAACATAACAAATAAGAGGGAGCTAAGTATTATCAAAATAGCGAGGAATTTGTATGTATTTGTTTGAAGTTAAAAGAAAGCGCGGCTGAATTTAATCTATTTTTGGTATTCGAATATTTAACTTTGTCCGGACTTTACAATTTATGTTGTCAATAAGGACATGTTGTATTCTTGAGAAAGGAATTCGAACATATGATCGATAATGCAGACTTTGATTATACATTTTACATGCTGACGGCAATAAAAAGTTACGCTCTTAATTTGAAATACGTGTTTATAGCCAACCGATGTATTATGATTCAAGTTAAAAGATTATTAAACATTTGCGGACACTTGGTCTACACTTACGGGTTACACTTAGACTTATGATTACAGTTGACGAAAATAAGGGGTCATTTTGAAAAATTTAAAGCTACACATATATACAGGATAGTTACACGAAAACTATTTTTCTTATTAATGTAAAACACACAAAACAAAAATGCAGCGCATTTGGTCACAATATATTTAATCGCAGTCTTTAATGTCGCCACAAATTCCCAAAAACTGTGTATATTCTTAGTAAAAGACGTTACGATGTTTTTGTATGATATATACTGATAGCACAAATCAAGAAATGAATGAAATAATGAGTTTCCACTTTACACACTCCGCGAATTACAGCATGTTCAAACTGGGAAACAACATTTATCGTTCTTCCCTTCGCCTATATCACCCTGCTCAGTCGTTCGATAATTATCGTGTCACGGCTTTGAGAGTTGAGCAAACATTATCTGCGGCGTCACAATGTTGGAGGAGAAGTTATCAGAGATGGCACAATCAGTGAGATATAAATATATCGTAAAATATCAGCATTGAGCCACAATGTGAACCTTTCATGAGAGTGATCATCCGAAAGAACTAAAAGGCTACACATTGTGGCGAGCGGTTGATATTTTACTAAATTTATACGCAGAAAACCCAATAATCTGTTTCGTTCTATGTATGTTCTTTTTCCTCTCCCTTAAGACTGTTTTAGTTCTTTGAAGAAAGTAAGCTCAGTAACGTCTCTTCACACATTGTGAAGTCGCTGATAACTTCTCCTCAGACATTGTGACGTCGCTGATAACTTTATCTATGGCATTGTTCCGTCGCTAATATTGTATGCTTACGTTTGAAAGCCATGATACGAGAATTAAGGAGCGACTGAGCAGGCTGATATAGGCGAAGGAATGGACAAAAAGATACGTTATCCAGTATACTTTTGTCAAGCGTTAAACTGTCTACGGGAGGGGAAAATGGCCAGTTGTAGAACGATAAACAGATTATCGGGTTTTCTACTTATAGATATCTTGAAATATTAGCCGCTGGACACATTGTGAAGCGTTTTTGCTCGTTTGCTGCGCTCATTCGCCAAAAAAGAAACCCCGTGGCTCGCTCATATTTTACGATATCAATGTGTAAAAAAACGATAATCTTTACATATAACAAATAATGTGTATACATTACTA